AGCCTGCAACATCCACTGCGAATAAGGCGCGGTGCGGGAGGCGACCGTCGGACATACGCAAAACATGTCCTAACCAACGGAGCCTATTGAGCTCAATTCGATGCGATAGCGAGTTCTTGTTCGAAGCATTCCCGAACACCTGACGACTTACTTCAAAGTTACTAGCTCACTCAGGTCGATGATCTACCTATCACATTGTTACACTTAATCACCTATTTTCTCCGTTGCTATCAAACTGGTTAATCCACCTACCATCCGTTTACATTCAAACATACAATGACACAATTCGTGTACTATTATATCCCTCAAATAGATAAAGAAATGGAGTAAAACAGACCAACTGCTTATGTTGATTGGAACTAATCATTCTTCAGACTTCATCTTCACGAGTAATCATCGGTTCTTCCGATCAAATCGTACACTTGGAAGTACTAGATTCAAGTTTCGCTCCTAGTAGAATTCCTCACTAGTGCATATCCCCCGTTCGGCCGTTCGGGTTTTGAACTCCGGACCCATCGCATCAAAGACTTGTGTGTTACCACTCTACCAACAAGCTCATACCAGGACTGAACGAAATTGCCAATTCATGTTTGTTCAAGTGTCGTATTCAGAAATAGTCAGTCAGCTTTCTGTTGGCCCGACAGTAACGAAGGGAGACACAGTTGGTTATATGGTAACTCCAATCGACGCCTGAACAAACATGAATTGGAAATTTGGTTCAGTCCTGATCTGAGCTGGTTCGCACAGTGGTAACACACGGGCCTTCCGTGTGATGACTCCGGAGTTCAAAGTCCGGACGAGAAGCTGTATATGCACTATTGATGAGCTCTGATAGGAGCGAAACTGGACTCTACTGCTTCCACGTGTACGGTTGGCTGGCAGAGCTGAGGAATGTACGTGAATGTGAAATTTGATGAAATTCGATGGTCAGTTCCAATCAACTTATATCAACCACCTCACACCACCACTCACAAGTAAATGTGATTTACCTTTCCAATAATACTTACATAATGTATTGTAAAAGATCACCAAATCGATAAAGTTGATATGCCCGTGCTGGACACGCGGATTAGCTACCAGTTGTCACTTGTGTTCCAACAACATTCACTCGTTCATTGCACAAGAAAGAGATATAGATAGATCGCAAGGAATAGGGGAATGTCCGGTATCAATCAGTACACATCTGAACCGATAGTTGAGACAGATTGCGCGATTTGGCAACGGTGAATACGATGGTGTGCGTGTGTTTGTGTGTGTGCGCGCGCACACACGTCACATGTCTCCTTACTTATTTTCACTCAGAACGGCACACGCGCGACACGTTGTGGGTTGACAGTGGCCCAGATGTGTGATTTTAGCACCCAAACCACTTTGAAAAGAGAGCGACAGAGGGCGAGAGAGAGAAAACAACGTGAGACATGTAAGTAAACTAGTCCGGAATGATGGTGGGGCGGTTGGTGGGTTGTGGGAAATAATCAAGGTACACTGCGATAATCGTGATGTGAATTTCAACACACATCGGTCAATCTCGCACGCGCGCTGTATGTGTGTGCCCCTGAAGGTATACCATTTAACGACAGAAACAGTTTGATGCGCATAAATCAGAAATCAGTAAATGAGATTATGTTTCTAACACCATGAAAAGTATGGTGACTGTTATCTGTGCAAGTTCGATTCCGCTTTGGTATCAAAAAGGAGCACAATACAAATTGACTATTTTCCCCGGGGCTATTCTAGTTTTCACCAAGAGCGAATACCAATGATCAACTGTTATTATTATGTAACCTTTGCATAACTATTTTCATAGCATTTGCCCCATCTATCCAGGTTACGAAGTAAGTACACATAAACTCCAAACAACCTTGATTTGAATACATAATGCTGCGTTTCCCTGCTGGTGGCTTTTGAATGCGGTGTTGGCCCGTTGGTTACGTCACCAAATTACCACCTCAAAAGTACGTGTGCTCCAACCCTCACCATAACCGCCGGTGTATTCAATAAAAGGAAGTAAAATTTTAAAAAAATAATAACCATGCTTTCACCTCATTCAGGCGTGGCGATGATGCATTGGACTTGATTCACTCGAAATAAGATAACAACAAAGAATCTGTGGGTCGTTTTCTATTCTAGGACAATGAACAGTAGGCTTAAAATAGCCTTTTTTTAATATCCCTGACCGGATGGACTGAGTCGCACGCGCTTGCCGACTTCCCATCCGCAAGAAATCGATAGTAAAAACAATTTCAATTCTTCGTGCACGGAGTGAATAAAGCGTGAACTGAAAAGCTTTTTCAACGTAGTCGGGTTTCATCGATCACTAATAATTGATCAGATCAAACAACTCCTTCACTGTGACTAGCTGTTGAATATTTTGTAATCTTGTTGTCAATCGGCCCACATGTCATCTTGTTTCCGTCGGTAGAAAACCCCACCAACTTACCCCACTTCGCCTCTCTCGAAATCAGAGTCACGATTTCTGCAAGACCTTTCCTGCCATGGTAACTGAAATCCAAAACATCGTAATCCAATCACAACTATACCTCAAGTGTAAAAGATTGTATGGTACACACAATCGTCAACAGAACGGTAATTTACGAACGAACGTTTGTTTTACCGAACAAAATTACACACTCATGGAAAATTATAAAGTCAATCAACCCTT